AAAAATAAAAATAAAAAACATTAGTGTGTCTTGGGTTCTAAATATAATTTGAACCCATACAGTGAGTATGTTAACAATAATAAGGTGGCCCTTTTAGAAAAAGCTTCACAAAAATCGACTCTCCAAATAGGGTGGGGTTCCATAAGGCTATGCACAGTACCAACCAAAAATTTATATAGGCAGTGCCAAACAGGCACTAACCTATAGAAATCAGCCTCACAAGGAAACCAACTGCAGCATATTGTGAAAAAATATAAAAACAACCAAAAAAAAAAGTTTTTTTTTTTTTGCTGCTGTGATCCAACTTTCTGTTAGAGGGTGGCTACCTTTGTTGTCTATGGACTATGGACAATGGGATTTGTAGTTTGCTATGATCCAACTTCCTGTTAGAGGATGGCTACATTTGTTTCCTATGGATTGTGGACAATGGGATTTGAAGTGAGCATACAGCAGTGCCATGACCGCAACTAGTGTGCACTGCTCATTTCAAACAAACCAAAGTGAGGGGGAAAAGTTCATGAGTTTCATAGTGGACATTACAAGAAGGCGGAATCACAGTAAGGGCTATTTCATACCAGCAGTATTGTTTACCACCCTCTAATATGAGATCTGCGGAAGACTTTTTTTCAGAGGACAGTATAGCAGCAGCCCTACAGCTATCTCCTGGAGCTTTTTTTTTTTTTTTTTTAATTGCAAAACGGCAATTTTACAGCAAGCAAAGCATCATGTATATAGTATGTGTACATCTCTGTCAGTCAATGTTAGAATTCCAGTGGACAACTAGGAGGTGGTAAAACTGCCACCTGTTTTTACCACCCCACTGGCCGGCAGTGTGAAAGAGCCATAAGAAACCTTTAAATACAGCACTTTTATAACAAGTGATGATTGGTTGTCTTTTAAGCACTTGTTTTATTACATGTTTTTTCATGTCCAATCATTATTGTTGAGTTAAAGAAAAGTTTTACAAACACACAGTGAAAAAGTGAACGCAAAGTTTGCATATACATGACAAAGTGTGGTGCCAACAGTGTAACCAAGGTGCCTACAGAATTATGTCAAAAGTGAGGTTCTTTGTTTAAATTGTATTAAAATGAGTATAACAGACCTATACTGAAACTGTAAAAAAACTGAGCAATTGAAGTGAGAAAATATAAACATTTCCCGGGGAAAAACTGATCCAGGCTTTCTGAAGTGTTGCTTACATGAAGGTATTTGGTATCAGGATCTCCGCTAGTTCAAACTCTGACGCTTCCATTCACCAAAGATCAAGTGATCAACTACCTACGTTTCTAGCAATGTGATCAGGAGTACAGGTAGTCTAACTTTTTAGAATAGGTGCTCTTTAATGTAATTGACAAAGGTTTTTTGACTTCTTTTACCGACATAATTTAAACTGCCATTTATTACATCTGAATGTCAGTTGAGGTTGGGCACCTCTGCGATACAGTGTGGAAATGGCAATTATTATTTTATAACACCATCGAAACTACACTTCAACTTTAAATTCAGTCATTCTGTTCAAGAAAGCTGTTCTCTGCAAAACATGGATACACAGATGGCTTGAAATGAAATTCTCCTGCATCGAGTCTGCAGCATGCTGTCACATAAATTTCCAAACACTTCACTTGACCATGACTGAGGCAATCACGATATGACTAGAATGCAGACTATCCACGGCAGACTATCTACAGCAACTGAGAATGTGACGTAATTGAGTTATATGTCTATAGCCTGCATAAATGAATCAAAGTATGTTTTAGTAAGACTCGCAATGTCAAATCAAAATTATTAGAACAGTATATGCTCAAAACAATTTAGTTTATGGGCTCAAAGCATTTGTTTTTTCTCTAGTCCATTCTATCTGAACAGCTGGATGCGCTTTTTTTTCCTTTTTTTTGTAACAGTTCCCACCAGGACCACCAGCCAAAAATGGATACTGGAAAAGAGATGGCTGAAAGGAATAGAATGATTATCGTCCCTCCCTGAACATCTGTCTAGGGTTGGTAAAGGACAAAACTGATGAATAAATAGGTTGTGGAACAAATGGAGTCTGATTTACTAAAGGGTTTGAGAAGGTTCACACAATAAATTCTGTAAATAACCACTTCAATTATCCAATCATATGCACATGAAAAAGTAAATGGAGATTTTCTTTTCATATGGTTGGATAACAGAGTTTTTTACCTATTTGATTGAGTGAACATTCTCAAATCCTTTAGCAAATCAGTCTCATTACTTTTAAGCACTTGTAGCTGTATGTTTTCAGCAGCTTACGTTCCATGTTTATTGTACCACAAACCTTTACTAAGATAAAGTAACTACTTAAAAGCTATTTCTAGGACATGGGTGATTAAAGAAACACTATTTAACAGTGCTGACAGGGTCTCAATGAACCTTTCTATTGTCTCATTGACTAGAGAAATGCATATCTCATAATAGTAATTGTGAGTCTTCAGGTACACTAGCATATAACCTAGCAGCACAGATACACAGCTCAACAAAAACTTTTTTTTTTTTTTTTTTTTTTTGCTTTTTAGACCTGTTCTTGGGGTTTTTTGGGGGAAAATGCATCAGCTCTTGTTTCTTAGATATGGTCAAATTTACAGTATATCATTTTTAAAGTCAGTTTTTGAAAAGAACTTGCTGATCAACATGTTCTTCTGTTACCTATGTGTTTTTGCGTACAAGTTAGCAGATATAGTGAAAGTGTTAATATACATCCAACTGTAATTTTACTTCAGAAACATTGGATTCTAAAGTGTAAGTTATTAACTGTATGATAGTTATGACTGTTTAGGAGGTGTGTATATTGCTACTCATATAGTTTCATTTTTACAGTTCAGAGGTTATGGCTACTTTTTTATGGGTTTCTTTCATGTTTCAAGGAGATTACATAAACACTACATTAAAATATCCTGATTTTTGACAGGTGAACCGAGTGAAGAGTGGTATATGGATCCCTCTGATGAAGTCACGTGGGCGTGATGTAACGCATAAGGAGCTTGGCTCTGGGCAGACATGAATAGTGAGTTCAGCTGACAAGTGAAGCCTGCATCTGATGATTTTATGGCATTTTATTCATTTACTACATGCTACATACTGCTTCTTAATACATTTTTATATTAGTACATACTGCACCATGGGAGTGTCCTTTGTTTGCTTTTAACCATTTCAATACAGGGCACTTTTACCCCCTTCCCTCCCAGGCCATTTTTCAGGTTTCAGCGCTCTCACAATTTGAATGACAATTGCGCGGTCATACAACATTGTACCCAAACTAAAATTTTATCATTTTCTTCACACAACTAGAGCTTTCTTTTGGTGGTATTTAAGCACCACTGGGGTTTTTATTTTTTTGCTAAATTAACAAAAAAAAAAACAAACGTTTGAAGAAAAAACTAATTTTTCTTTGCTTCTGTTATAAAAGTTTGCAAATAAATAATTGTTCTTCATAAATTTAGGCCAAGATGTATTCTGCTACATGTCTTTGGTGAAAATAACCCAAATTAGTATTTATTATTTAGTTTGGAGGAAAGTTATAGAATTCACAAACTATGGTATAGATCTGAATATTGATCAATCCTGAAGTACTGACAGCCAATCTAATTTCTTGAGGTTCAAGAATGTCAGAACAGTACAGATATCCCCCAAAAGACCCCTTTTTGCAAAGTAGACAGTCCGACGTACTTCATAAGAGGCATGGCAAGTTTTTTGAAGTTGTATTTTTTTGTCATAATTTTTTGGAAAATTAAAGAATGTAAAAAATTATTTTCACAATTTTTTTTTTTTTACATACTGTCACCAGTGCAGTACAGCGTCATCAAATAACTGTCATGGCGGTGATCAGGGACACTGACTGGTGACAGTATGCAAAAAAAAATACATAATTTTTTTTTAAATACTTTTAAATTTTTTTTATTTTAAATTTTTTATTAAATTTTTTTTTTTTTAAGATTCTTTTTTCATATTTCACTATGACCAAAGTAGTACAATGTTACCATAGTAACACTGTGCTACTTTGGGGAAGTGATCAGTATTTTTTTTTTTACACAATTTGCTTATAGTAAAGAATTACTTTGCTATAAGCAAGCATTTACCTTTATGACATCAATTCATTCAGGGTTTTTTTTTTTTGTGCTTAGCTGTGATTTGGCCACGGCTAATCACATGACACAGCTGGGTTGTGATTGGCCCAGCTTGTGCATGTGATCACTGTGACCAATCACAGCTAGACACACTAGTATACAATGGATGGCACGAATGAAGCCATCCATTGTATACAACTGTCATGTGACCTGCTGTGTTTGGTCACAGCAGGTCACATGGTACCGGCAACGGGGCCGGTACTCAGATCTGTCATCGGCCGTGTCCGAGGTATACGCCCGGTAACAGATTGCGCAGCTGCGCGGCTCTGCAGGCGCGCAAACTGTGCATGCCCGGGAGGGATTTTGCCGGCCGCCAAACGGCCATTGGCCGGGCGGCAAAAGGTTAACCACTAGCCTACAGGGCAATTATACCCCCTTCCTGCCCAGGCCAATTTTCAGCCCTGTCACACTTTGAATGACAATTGCGCGGTCATGCAACACTGTACCCATATGACATTTTTATCATTTTTTTTCAGACAGATAGAGCTTTCTTTTGGTGGAATTTAATCATATCTGGGTTTTTTTTATTTTTTGCTAAACAAACCAAAAACAACTGAAAATTATAAAAAAAAGTTTTTTCTTAGTTTTTGTTTTAAAAGTTTGTAAAAAGTGATTTTTCTCCTTCACTGATGTGCGCTAATGAGGCTGCAGTGATGGGCACTGATAGGCTGCACTGATGGGCACTGATGAGGAGGCACTGGTAGGTGGCACTGATGGGCATTGACAGGCATCACTGATGGGCACTGAAAGGCAGCACTCATATATGGCACTGATAGGTGGCACTGATAGGCGGCACTGACTGGCACTGTTAGGCGGTACTGATAGGTAGCACTGACAGGCACTGATAGGCCACACTGATGCGCACTGATAGGTGACACTGACTGGCACTGATAGGCGGCACTGACTGACACTGATAGGTGTCACTGATTGGCAGCACTGACTGCACTGATAGGTGACACTGAAAGGCAGCTCAGATGGGCACTGATATGTGGCATTGATGTGCACTGGTAGGTACTAATATGTGGCATTGATGTGGCACTGATAGGTGGCACTGAAGAGCACTGACAGCTGGCACTGCTGGGGCTACACTGATCATCAGGGCAGACTGATGATCAGTGCCCTGATGATTAGTGTACATATCCCCTCTGAGGAATGCCGATCACCGGCTCGCCTCTCCTCTCGAGCTGTCAGCATGACAGCTCGAGTGGAGAGAAATGCCGATAACCGGCATTTACATGCGATCAGCTGTGATTGGACACAGCTGATCACATGACCGAGTCATATGACATCCTCCCAGAATGAGAGAACTACCTTGCGCCCGTCATTGCCTTATATGGCGGGTGGGAGGTGGTTAAGGATAGGAATGTGTGACCTCCATCACCCGTAAAGGGACCAATCCCTGGCTCAGGTTTGACAATCTATTGAAAGCTCAAAGGCTGATTACTATCACATGGCTTGTGGATTGAAAAAGTGAAGACTCCTTTTGTCTATTTGATATCATAAAGCGCATTTCCATGTGCTCTGAGGTGAGAGTTCTGTGAGCACTGAGGTGGCACTGTATGTTATATGCACTATTTTACTTGATGGTGTTTGGGATATCAGAAAAAAAAAACGCATGAATTATGGAAGAATCTTTATTACAATTTGATTTTACATATAGGGACTCATTATGGACCTTTTATTTAGCTATGTCACTCTTATTTTTTGTAGCTATTATTTAGCAGCGCTACATCACTTATTTATTTGTATATGGCTTTTATGCTGTATCTCAAAAACTAGAGCTGATAGGGAAAAATTGGTGCCATTTTTATACAAATATACACAGGAACAGGTCTAACATTTGAGGCACCAAAATGTTTTGACCTGTTTAATACTTCAAAATGAATTTTCCTAAAGCTAGTCATTCATGGATCAAAATTCAGTCAGTTCAGCAGGGACCAGCCACATTTCGATCTGATTCACTTCTGTTCAAGCACCCTGTTGGTACATTCTTGCTCGATCAGCACTGCAAGCTATATATTGCTGTATGTGACCCTATTAGGGAGATCACCCTCTCTATTAGCCCTGTCTACCATTAATAAAAGTGAAAATAAAAGAAAGTCCCAAATTTTGTGTTGTCCCCAGAACAGCAACAGATGGGAAGTCTTCAATAGGGACACACAATTCCATTAATTTGCAGTAATTTCCTCTTATTTCCTGTTTGGGCTATGGGACAGGAAGTGAGGATAAATTTCCACAATGGGACACAGATGGCAAAAAAACAAACAAACTGAAAAGAATTACACCATCCAAAATGGAAAAAAATATCATTTTATTTAGGTGCCTAAATAAAATTTTAAATTGCTGAGTAGGCTTTGGACAAGCACTATTCCAAAAGAAAAATATCATTATGAACACAGTGGGGTTGATTTACTAAAGGCAAATAGGCGGTGCACTGCATGTGCACCTACCTGCAAGTGCACTTCAACTGCACTACAAGTGCAGTTGCTTTAGATCCAAGGGGAATCTCTGAAATGAGGCGAAGCTCTGCTGATTACTTTCATCTAATCATGTACAAGCAAAAATGCAGTTTTTTTTATTCCCCTTGCATGTTCCCCTCAGATCTACAGCACTTGCACTTTCAGTGCACTTGGAAGCGTAAAAGCCTATTTGCCTTTAGTAAATCAACCCCAATCTATAAACACATCACCACCATCAAAAAATCAACCAAAATGTCAATATTTTGGCATATTTTGTATAAACACCACAAAAAAGGGAGCATAAAATTAACTTCAAAATTAAAGATACCAAGTAACATCATTCTGTGTATAGACTAATGTGAATTTTAAAGGGGAAGTGTCAGATATCATAAAAGATAACATCCATACTCACCTATGTGGCTGCAGCATCCTACAGTGTCCCACAAACTCTAAGACTGAAAACTGAGTGATCTGCGGTCATGTGCTCACTCAGTTCTCAGTCTTCGCTGAGCAGTGAGTTTTGACTGTCAATCACCGGCTCTCTGCTCTGCCCCTCCAGCGCTCACTGTTGTTCTGGACTGTGGAGGGTACAGGAGTGGCAGGCTCAGGCTCTCAGGCTGTTTCGGAAGTTTGTTATAGCACATTTTGATTATTTTGCTCTTAACTTTTATATTCAGTTGACTGTGGTGTCAACTGATGGAACGTGCGAATATCAAATGATGATAAAATTTCATGTGTATGGACTTGGTAAAGTTTCCTATCCTAAAGCATCACAATACTGCAAAAGTACAGAAACATGTGGTGTGTGCAAGTACCTGTCTGATCCTATATCCTTCTGGAGAAGACTTTTGGATTGTAGGCCATGTCTCAATTTTTGTTCAAGTTTAGATTAAGCTACCCATCCCAATACTAACTCATGTAATCTGTAAAAGGAGGGTGGTTATAATTGACTTCAGCAGGAGTCATGAACCCATGTACAGCCTGGGTCCAAGATCTTGGGGGTCTCTACAGGTATTAGCTGAATACTGACAGGCACTGCCTAGCCCTACAAGGTGTTGTATCTGCCAGGTCATGGTGTTGTATCTGCCAGGTCTTACAGATCTAGTTAAAGAATGTAAGTTTAGTGGTGACAAAAAGTGCCCAATACACTATATTAATGAATTCTATTACAGGAATAAAAACATTTAAAGTAAAAGAGAAATTGATATAAATGCTTGCAAGTCACTTTTTACTGACCCAAAAATTTGGTGATTAGATAAATTAAGCAGGCACGAACAGGGAAAATTCAATAGAAATTACATAATCTTATATTCCTAAAGAAGATTAGTGTAGATCTGATCCTGACACAAATGTAGGCTATCCCAGAATCACATGAGTTTCTCACTTGGAAAGGATATTTTCTCCTTGAGCTGCTAATAACCTCATATAAATCCAATAGCAAATTTTAAATCTTGTGTTAGTAGTTATAGATTTGCTGTATACACTTAGAAGGAGGACTACCCCTTCTATTAATTTCAGGTCATTGAACAGACAGAACACTAAACAAAATTACTGTTAACAAATATATAATTGAGCGGGCATATTTCTCATAGTTATGAACAAGTTCATTTAAACATACAGCCACAACTGATTTCACTACTAAATCTTTTTTCCTTTTGAAGATGAAGATCAGTTTCCCCAGGAATAACTTTTTGACTTTGTATTCTATATATTTGGAAAAATTGTGTTTAATTTGAAAGCATCTCTGAATAGGCATGTTTTAATAAGAAAGAACTATGGTTAAAAAAAAAAAAAAAACAGGATTTTTCCCAAAGCTCCCTTCATATTCATGTAATCAGTTCAGTTTCAGAACTATATTCCAAAATGTAGCTCAGCCACAGCTGGAGAGGGATAGAGATGAGCCTGGACGTGTACTTGCATGAAACCTTAAGTTAGCATTGCTGTTAAAGTCTTCCAAAAATCACTCTGGGCCATGAGAGCACTATACCAGATAAATTTTATTTCCTAATCAATAGTCTCTACATGTTAATGAAGGTTGGAACCCGTATAACCAACCCGTTTGTACCTATATTACATAATACCATTTTTTTAAGGCTGATTTAAAGCGGTATTAAACTTCAATTGTTTTATTTTAAATATGCCTCAGTGGTGTAAGCCATAATGTGTTAGCATGCATTGCATATTATCACTTTATAACAGACTTACCTCAGTGGTGTAAGCCATAATGTGTTAGCATGCATTGCATATTATCACTTTAATAACAGACTTACCTGAAGCCTTCCAGCGCTGAGCTATCACTGCTCCATTGCTTCCATCTTCAACCAGATTTCCTTCCGACGCCGTAAATGGACGGGCCATGGTGACGTCACTACCCGCACATGTACATGGGAGTCACCAAGAGCTAACTGCACATGTGCAAGTGATGTTATAAGTCAAAGCCAAAAGGAGCACCTCCATAAGGGTGCAGTTTCAGAACATTTAAAGCAGCAATACACATTAAACGCTTAAATAAATGAGAAATTAAAAATGTTGTGTTTAATACTGCTTTAATTCATATTTTAGACAAACTCCATTACAGTGATCAATGTGAAACTGTAGTCTTGTGATTAACTACTATAATTACCTATCTCACAATATAATACATTATTTTTTCCTGCAGCTCACACCGTTTTCACCATTTTGCCCTCTATGAATAAGCCACTCAGTCATGTTTACAAGTTGCCTTGCCAATGAATGTCACTTTTATCATCTTTGCCAACCCCCCTGGTCATTAACAAAAAAAAGTCAAAAAAGAGCTGGAGGCAACATCCAGTCCTTTACTTGGAAGGAACAATAGCACCTGGTCCAACCTGGCTGAGATTCAAAGGCAACATTTTATCCTGCCTCACATTTGAAGCTTTTAAATAAATAATGGCTCTATTATGCTACCATGAATATTTTTCACCACAACACTAGCAGATAATTATCTATACATAAGATAATAATCACACAAAACATTATGCTGTTGCTAGGAAACACAATTAAAGAAGCAATGTTAAACAAAACACAGCTTATACACTATGAGAAGGAAAAAACAACTACTGTATTTAAAGTTTTCACAGTTCCTACCACTGTATCTGATGTATTCAGTCCATTTTCCACAAGGTCTATTGCTATAGTCAATTATATCCAGTATTATATTAGCACAGAAATAAAGTTACTGAAGACATTGGATGCTCACGTCTGCCTGCAGGTCTATATGTTGTGCCTGTGCTAATTTGTTATTCAGCTTAACCTCCATTTTTTGTGGTAGATCAATGCCATATACTCTGTTTTTTAAAAGCCTGATCTGTCATTTATAACTCAACAACGAAGACTAACATTGAAAGTAAACCTGTTACAGACCTTGAAAAAAACAAAACTTATAGGATAATTTTACCTTTTTTTAAAAAAAATGCACATCTGTGTGCAGGTGTGCAGATGTTTGCAATGTGCATTTACTATTTTTTGTTTTAGAAGCCTGAAACGCATTGCACCAGCGATCAGCAAATTGCTGATACCATGCAGGTCTCCTGCAGACTGTCAGTGCAATCATGTGGGCAGGCAGTTTTACACTGACAGCAAGAATCAATGAACTACCACAGCACTCCACAGTGTCTTGGTAGTTCATTGAGAACTACAAGCTGACAGCTGCAAAGGTACTTGTAGTTTTCCCATTCACGGAACTGTTTTTTTTAAATTGTGACAGCAGCGGGAGAAGATCTGGGGGACTGGGCGGGTGCGGGAGCTGGTTCTACAGTAACATGTTACACTCTGAATATGGGTGTAACACAGGGGAGGACTG